GGAGAGGGAGTGGGGCATGCCTGGGGTTGGGTCGGAAAAAGAAGCCAAAGATTCCGAAAAATTTGGTACTGTCTTTTTTTTTTAATTGAGGAATAACTGAGGTACATATGTTTCAGGTGTACAACATAGTGATTCACAATTTTTAAAGGTTATGCTTTATTTATATTTATTATAAGATATTGGCTACGTTCCCTGTGCAATACAGTATATCCTTGTAGCTTATTTATTTTAGACACAGTCACGTGTATCTCTTAATCCTCTATGCCTATCTTGTCCCCTTCCCTCTTCCCACTGGTAACCACTAGTTCGTTCTCTATACCTCTGTGTCTGTTTCCTTTTTGTTATATTCGCCAGTTTCTTGTATGTTTTAGATCCACATATAAGCAATATCATACAGTACTTGTCCTTTTCTGTCTGACTCTCTTCACTTAGCCCTCCAAGTCAATCCACATTGCTGCAAATGGCAACATTTCATTCCTTTTATGGTTGAATAATATTCCATTATGTATATATCATTGTCCATTTTTTAAAAAATTGATCCATCCCCTGGGGGGAGGGGATAGTTAGGGAATTAGGGATGGACACGTACACACTGCTATATTTAAACTGGATCGCCAACAAGGACCTACTGCATAGCACAGAGGACTCTGCTCCGTGTTATGTGGCCGCCTGGATGGGATGGGGGTTTGGGGGAGGATGGATATATGTGTATGTATGACTGAGCCCTTTCTCTGTTTACCTGAAATCGTTTTCTTTCTTTTTCTTGCCTTATCATTCTGGCTAAAACCTCCAGTACAATGTTGAGTCAAAGTCTTTGTCTTTTTTCTGATCTCAAGATTAAGTTGATGTTAGATGTATTTTTCACAGATGCTCTGAACATGTTGAAGAAGTTCCATTCCTAGTTTGTTGAGTGTTTTCATTATGAAATGTTTTGTTAAATGCTTTCCCCACATCTATCGAGGTGAATTTGTGGTTTTATCTTTTATTCTAACAACACTGTGTGTTATGTTGATCGATTTTCATATGTCAAACCAACTCTGCATTCCTGGCATAAATGCCATGCGATCATACTGTATAATCATTTTATATGTTTCTCTATTTGATTCAGTATTTCACTGAGGGTTTTTGTCCCTAAGTTAGGATTTGTAGTGTTCAGTAATATTTGATTTCAGATTCTTGCATGGTCAATGGTTTTCAAATTTTTTTTCTATCTTTATTGAATTTGGTACCAGTGTTACACTAGCTTTTCCTAAAGTTTTTTTTCTGAGACTTTTCTACTTTTTTGCATGCCCTGAAACAGTTTAAATGATATTGGAATAATCTGTTCCCTAAAATTGTGTTAGAATTCCCATGTGAAACCGCACAGCTTGGTGCAGTTTTGGCATGAGGTAGAACTATCTATTTAAGGATGTCATTTTCTATGGGAGTTGGGTCATTTTCTCTTTTCTGTCTCTTCTGGGGTCAAGTCTTCACATTTACAGTTTCTTAGAAAGAATCTGTTTCATCCAAGTCTACAGATTTATTGGCATAAAGTTGATCAAAGCATTCTTTTGTGGTTCTTTCCATTTTCTCTGTTCATGTTTCTCTATTTGTATTATCTTATTCTGTGTATGGGGCTTCCCAGGTGGTGCTAGTGGTAAAGAACCTGCCTACCAATGCAGGAGACGTTAGAGACGTGGGTTCAGTCCTTGGGTCAGGAAGATCCCCTTGGAGGGCAATGGCAACCCACTCCAGTACTTTTGCCTGGAGAAGCCCATGGACCAAGGAGCCTGGTGGGCTACAGTCCACGGGGTCACAAAGAGTCGGACACGACTGAGCAACTTCACTTTCACTTTCTTTCAAAGCAGATTAGCACGCACGCATTCTGTATATGTATATATACTCTCTTTTTCTTAATTGTGCTGGTTTTAATTGCCTTTTTCCCTCCAAAAAGTCAGCTTGGTTGAACCTTTCTTGGAATGAGGCTGCAGGTGGAGACCCACTCTGTGTGGTCCTCTGGTCCACCTCTCTCCTTCCAGAGGTGGTGTTCCTGTGGTCCTGCGTTGTGTTCTGAAGGCTCTTTGCTCTGTCTCCTGCTGGTTCCATCAATAAACCTCTTCTGTGTCAAACCATGTCTTTGCATCTGGCTGTTAGCAGACCCAAACAAGCCCCAGGCATTCCCTGGCTGCAGTGCACAGAATGCCCTAGAAGGGGTGGGAAGGGAGGTAAAGCCCGTCTGTCTGGCTGCTGCAGTGATCTGGGAGCAGAGGGGTCCCTGGTCTCATCCCAGAAAGTGGGGAGCGAGAGGGGGTGTACAGTAAGGGATGGGTCTACGAGCTGTTTGGGATCAACGGGACTTGGGCATATAACTGCATAGCTAACATTTCACCATTTATTGCTTTCAACATTCCTTCCCAGGACCATAAGAATCAGATGAAGCTACAAATCTGAAGGCAGAGTTGAAATGTTTATTCACAATCTCTCAACTTGGCCTTAACCCCCAGCCCTCACTGAATATCAAGATCTTGCACGAGAAAGAAAGAGACATGGCTCTAAAGGGGACAAGCAAAGGTTACTAAAGAGCCTGGAGGGGCCAGGACCCCGGCTGGCTCTTCTCCTGGCCCTGCACGCAGAGGCTGGGGGGCAGGGGCAACCGTCCTTGGTCCTGGACGCAGCATGAGGTCTGGCCAGCCCTGATACGGTCTGGCCCCACCCAGGAAGCGACCAGGGAGGGCTGGTGGTCAGCAGCCCACCTCCCCCCCGCCGCCCCAAGATGCTAAAAGAAGGAAAAATCAAGCAAACCTGGACACTTTTCAGGTGGGTTTTGTGCTGTCGGTCTTTCGCTGGGGGAGCATATTATACATTTTGTCTTTTAGGAAATAGAATGTTCTGGTGAGAGGAGTCTTCAGAGATTAGCAGAAAACGGGAAGGAGGAAGCCAGGTGGCGGAGCTTCTGGCTGCTCAGGACCTTCCACCTGGCAACTCCAAGTTCATCTATGTTCTACCTTAGACCCCCCTCCCCAAATTGTGCTTGAACTCAAGAGCTCTGGGTCTACACACTGTTTTCATACCCTGCTTTTTGCAGATAAGAAAACTGAGGGGCTGTCTGAGATCCGGAAGCAAGTGCAGGGCTGAGCTGGGAACCTCCGTGTCTCACCTCACACCTCACCTCCCCCCAGCCAAGGTATACAAGCACAGGTGTGCATGCTCAGGTGTGGTTCCTGCTCTGAAAGCAGACTCAGCACGTCAAGCAGGTGTGCACCTGTCCATGGTGTTAAGGTTCACCAACTGTGCCCCGCCCCAGCTGAAGTTAAGCCAGAGAGGTCGAGCTCATTGTAGGCAAGCGCCTTGTGTGTGACTCTGGGCCCCTTTCAGGACTTGGGGAACAGCAGGTGGGTGGTCCTAATCCTCCTGGGGGAGACACGCCTCCTCTGAGGGCCCATCCCACAGGGTTTCTGACCAGCCCCTCCTCTTCCTTTTTCCATCGTCCTGCATTCACTCTGCAGGTGGCCAGAGCTGCCTGCTGGGTTTCTGGGTGAACGTGCCCACAATGTGGGGCCAGCCAGAGCCAAAAACTGAGTACACGTCATAGCACTGAGTTCCCCCAAATGCTGGGGTGCTCTGGGGGTGCGCTCACACACAGGAGGCATCTCCTGCACTCTTTCCACATACCAGGTCCTGGGTACCAGCAATGAAACAGTCACAGAAACCAACCTGGTGAACAGAGTGGCCTCCAGTTTAGGGCCCCAGGAAAGGACTTAATTCTTGCCAATTCTTGGCTTCACACAACCCTGTCAGATATTCCCTCCCTGACCCACCATCAGATGTCCATTTTTCATGAAACTAATGCAACTTCAATTTCAGGTCATCTTCCTTACTAGGAGCTTCCGAAGGCTCAGGAGGGACTTGGGAGTTGTGTTTACAAGGTCATGTGTTTTTGTAAAGCTTGCAAAAATTAGCAATTTTATGTGGTGGACACACTCTAAGGTGACCAGGGGTGGCTGAGGGAGTTCCAATGAGTCACACCCTTGCATAATCCCCTTTCTTCAAGCATGGGCATGTCCTGCGACCTATTTCATTCTTTTTTTAAAGATTTTTTTTTTTTTGATGTGGACACTTTAAAGTCTCTATTGAATTTGTTATGATATTGCTTCTGTTTTATGTTTTGATTTTTTGGCCACGAAGCCTGTGGGATCCTAGCTCCCCAATCAAGGTTCAAGTCACATCTCCCAGTATTGGATGGTGGAGGCTTCACCAGTGGACCACCAGGGAAGTCCCCTGTGACCTACTTCTGACTGATAGATGATGGCAAAGGTGATAGGCTAGCATGTCCATGAGTATGGCAGGTTACAGGGACAAAGTGAAGAGATTTTGCAGAAGTAATTAAAATTCCAACCAATTGACTTTGAGTTTTTCAAAAGATGGGCTTGGGCAGGCACGCCTCTGAGAGGGCCCTGGTCTTTGCTGAAGCCAGAGACTATCTCTCACTGGCTTTGATGAAACCAGCTGCCTGAATCCTAGAGCAGCAAGAAAATGAACTCTGCCAACAACCTGAGTGGGTTTGGGAGCTGCCCTCCCCGAGCCAGCCTTCGGATGAGAACACAGCCCAGCCACCACCTCAATTCCAGGCTCAGACCCAGGCAGGGGACCTGGCTAAGCTGGGCCTGGATTCCTGACCCAGGGAAACTGTGAGATGACATGTGGGTTGTGTTCTGAGCTGCTACACGTGCAGCAATGTTAGGTATCAATAGACAACACATTCTTCATATGTTCTCTTCCTTCTAGAGCTCTCCCCTGCCAACAGTGTAAGCTTCATCTCCATAAAATCCTTGAGGCCATAGCTTTCTGGTGCCTTTTGGTCATAGGAACAGTCTTACTTCACCCATGATGACTGCCTTTCAGAGATGCAAGTCTCCAATCTGGTCCACAGAAAAAGTCCAGTCTCACAGGCAGCTCAAGTCTTCTTTCCCCAAACTCAGGCCCAGGCCCCAGTGGGGAGAGCGGGAAGGGCTGTGGCCGAAATGTTGAAGCAGCAGGTAAAGCTCTACCCGAGTGTCCTGGGGCTGCTGCAGCAAACAACCAGTTTGGGGCCAGTGTACAGCAGAAATGGATCTCTCCCCGTTCTGGAGCCAGAAATCCGTGAGCAAGGCGTCGGCAGGGCTGCCTTCCCACGGGAGGCTGCAGGGGAAGGTCCTTCCTGCCTCTTCCAGCCTCTGAGGCCTCCAGGTGACCCCTGGCTTTTGCCTGGATCCCTTCAGTCTTGCCTTTTCAGCACCCAGCCTGTGTCTCAACCCCCCCTCCTCCTTCTCTTATAAGGACCCCAGCCCTTGGATTTGGGGCTCACCTTAAATCCACCATGATTTCAAGATCCCTAACTTAATTATGTCCTCAAAGATCCTTTTACAAATGAGGTTACCTTCACAGGCTCTGGGGATGAGGCTGTGGACAGATCTTGCGGGGTCACTGTTTTCAGCCCCATACGGTCATATTCAGAGTCTTTTCTGCAAGTGAACCAGGAGCCAAGTGTGCAACGGATGAGATGAGCTGTGAGAGGCAGGGATGGAGGAGGACAAGGGGGTTCAGAGTGAGAGGATGTTGGGGTGACACCCGTGAGGGTGACATTTAAGCCCGGACCGGACGGCTGAGAAGGGCCCACCCTTGGAGATGAGACAGGGAAGCAAAGGGGCCCTGGCGTGTGAGAGCTGAGGGCACGTGAGCCTGGAGGGTGGTGGGGCGGGGAGAGGAAGCAGGCAGGGCGTGGACGGCGGGGAAGGCCGTGGCCTGGCCAGTCCAGACCATCCTGCAGAGGAAGCAGCAGGTCACCAGGCACTGGGAGGTCGGGAGGGGCGTTTCCGGGGATGAAATCCTGTGCTGAGTGGTCGGCCTGCTGCCTTGTAACCCTGGATACGCACCCCCTGCCTAGGTCTGATCAGCGGGCCTTGTCCCTGCTAGAGGTGGGGACTAGGGGAGTCAGGTGTCCTGGGAGGGTCAGGCAGGGCCCCCCTCTAGCTGCCTGGAACTCTGATGAGAGTTGCATAAAGCAATGCATGAAGCCAGGCAGCTTTATGGGGTGTTTGATGAAGCTTTTAAGGCATCAGAAACCATCATCAGAGGCATGGCCGCTTGCTCCGTGTGGCTCAAGACGCAGTCTCGAGGGGCCCTCTGCTGGGTTGCAGGCCACACCTGGGGGGGCTGGAGCTTGGCCAGGGTGCTCCCTGTTCCTTTGGCCCCTAACCGTCGGGCCATCCTGCCAGGCACGGCCGGAGCCCTCTGCGTACGAGGTGTGTCCAGAGCCCTGGTCCTCGGTCCTGGCACCGCAGAGGGCAACGTTAACAGAGTAATGAAAACCGCGGCGATTTTAACAGTTTCTTAGACAGGGGATCGGATTGTTGTTCCAGGGATCGGGTCCCGTGGCCACATCACAGCGAGAGACACACGAAGTTCCCGGCGTTGAGGGGCTCACGTAAGGGGGATGGTAGACAAATGACTGGAGAACCCACTGGGATTGAGCGGGCCTTGGGGGGAGAGCTGACGGTATCCCTGGGCGGGGGTCAGGAGGCCTCTCGCAGGTGACAGGAGGGGGTCTGTGGCATCTGGGGGGACTTTCAGAACATTCCAGGCAGGGATGCTATGAGGTTGGGGCGCGTTGCCAGTGGCCACCACATGGAGGGAGGTGAGGTGGGCGGCATGCAAGGGAAGTGGAGAGAGTGGCCAGGCCTGGCCCCTGAGAGGGGGCCCAGAGGAGGCTGAGCCTCCATCCTGCAAAAGTCCCTTTTTCTTAAGGTGGCCTCGCTGTTGTCTGAGCTGAGATGGGCTGGACTGGGGCAGGGGGAGAGGAGGGGCGGCGCTCCGTGAGAGTTTGGTGGCCCAGATGGGCCAGCGGTGAGCCCTTTCCCCTGGGCAGGCCGTGGACTCAGGAAGCAGCTGGCTGTGCCCTCAACGTGGGGCTCTGTGGGCAAAGCGGGGAGGGCTCCCTTGGAGCCGAAGCTGCTGTGGGAAGGGTCCTGGCTCTCTGGGACCCCGTCCCCACTGGGAGTGCAATCATCCCCAAAGACACCCTTAGCTGGGTGTGGCAAGGTGGGGGCTGGTGCCTCCGGCTCTGAGACCCCTCCCCAGGTTGCACAGAAGTGGGGGGCTGAGGCCGCAGCTCCCCTCTCCCTCAGCAGGGCAGCAAGTGGTCAGGGCCATGGGCTCTGCTCCCCGTTCCCCAAGAAAGACCAGCTGGCAACCTGGGTGAGCTCCTTCGATCCTGCTGAGTCTTGCTTCTCTTCCTACTGGGGAAGCTGAGGGGTCAGTGGTGGAGCTCAGAGGCTAGCCTCCCCCACTCCCAGCTTTGTGACTTTGGGCCAGTTACAAAACCTCCCATCTCTTCCCAACTTCCAGGGCTTTGTTTTCTTGGGTGGGTATTGAATGCATCAATATACCAAAAGCACTGACCACCTTGTTCATAGCAGCACTATTAACAATAGCCCAGACATGGAAGCAACCTGAACGTCCATCAACAGATGAGTGGATAAGAAAGATGAGATACACACACACACACACACACACACATATATACATACATGCAGCGGAATATTACTCAGCAAGAAAAAAGAGTGAAATAATGCCATTTGCATCAGCAGAGATGAACCTAGAGATGATCACACTTAGTGAAGTAAATCAGAAAGAGAAAGGCAAAATACCATATAATACCACTTGTGAGTGGCATCTAAAACATGGCACAAATGAACTTACCCATGAAGCGGACTCACAGACATAGGAACACACTTGTGGTTGCAGGGGGCAGGGGGTAAGGGGTGGGGGTGGGGGAAGGTTGGCGTGGGCATTTGGAATAGGAGATATTAACCATTATGTGGAATGGATGACAAGGTCATAATGCGTAGCACAGGGAACTGTCTTCAACATCCTGTGCAAAACCACGATGGAAAGGAATCTTTTAAAGTTTACATTAATATACACCAGAAGTGCTCGGAACTGCGTTTGGTGGTAAGAGCTTGACCGCTTGTAGCTGGGAGCACCAGTTCCCAGGGTGAGAAAGCCACTGCCTCTGACAGCCCAAGCCCAGACGTGGAGGGCTTAATCCAATGACAGCCTCTCTCTCTCTCAAGTCACAATCCAGTGCAGGAAGGGGGAGGGGAGGGGCCTGTCCCATGAAGGCACTCGGGGACCCAGGCTCCTTCCAGCTTGTGGTCCTCTTGGGGCTTCAGAGTCTTCCTCTAGGATGGTCTGCAGATGGGGGCTCCCGGGAGGTCCCTCTGCGCCGGGCCTGGGCCATCTGCACGCACAGGCTGAGGCCACGCTTACCACAGGGAGGCCGGGACCCGGGGACTGGCTCTGCGTCCGGGAGGACAGAGCTCATTCTGTCTTGGCTGTTCCTGCTCTTATCTCCTCCTGCAACAGCTGGAGCGCCAAGAAAGGTGAAGGGGTAGGAAGGGCCTGCAAGGGCCTGGCAGACAACCATGTTAATCACCCTTCCGGTTCCATCCCAGCCGGCTTTGCCACCCCCGAGAGAGGCTGCAAGGGGGAGCGGGGCCCTCCCAGGGGCCCCCGGCGGCTCCTCCCACGAGGAGTGTGTATGTGTCACCAGCCACCTCTTAAATCCCTTAATCTTATTATTCCTTGGTGGGAAGGCTCTGAACATTCCTTCTGTATTTTTTTTAAAAAATTGCCTGACAGGTTTCTTAAACAGAATTCTTCTTCTTCTTTTTTTTAACCCTCAATCTCCGGGAGGATCGTTTCCTGTTGGGACCAAGGATGGGGTCCTGCTGAGGGTCCAGCGAGTGACAGTGTTTCTCAAACAGGGTTCCTGGAGGCCTCTTCTGGGCCACTTGCTGCCGGCCCAGGGGACAGAGCTGTCCACACAGCTGAAGTCCTAGGGGACGCCGTGCACCCTCCATCCCCGCTTCCCACCCGATTACAGAAGGTTCCTGAACCTGGTTGTGCAGAGACACTTGCTCACCTGTAGATCGCAGGCCCCACCCCAGCAGCCCTGATGCTGACCGTCAAGCAGGAGAAGAATCTGAATTTTCAGCAGCAGTCTGGGGAGTGCTGACGTGGTCTGCTTGTCCGTAGCCTGGAATTTGGGAAGCCAGGCTGTGGGGGACAGTGAGATGAACCAGACACCGCCCCGACTCTGAGGCTGTGGCTGTCTGGCAAGGAAGGTAAGACAGGACCCTTGCCGACTTAAAAAAAAAAAAATAGCACAACCTAAAAGTTGTTTATGTTTTATTCAGACAGAACTCAAGGCAGCGTCTCAGCTCAGAGGGACTGCTGCGAAGAGACAAGAGAGGAGCTGGGATATATAGGGGGTTTTACGACAAAACCCAGGTAGTCGGTGCATCAGAAGATTACGGTAAATTAAAGAGAAAGCAGACATCTCACGTTAAGGACTTAGCGCTTGTCTATGTACGGGGAGAGGCGAGAGCCTGGGCTCACTGACACTGCCCCTCTGATGTGCACCTCACTGTCGGGGTCAAGAGCCTGCTTTCCTCCATGCCGAGTCCTTTCGGGGTGCACGGTGTGTGTGGGGGGTGAACACAGGGGCTGCTGGCTCGCTGGCTGCAGCGTCCTTTGTTTACGGATGTGGCAGGCGGCACTCTTCGTCCAAGCCCCAGCCAGAAGCACCACCTGGGGGAGACGCTAACTAACAGCAAGGGCCTCACTGACAGCTGTGAGCGGAAGCCAGCTTCACACCGGATCCGGGGCCCTGGGCTTTCTGGCGTTGCGTCTTTGCAGATTCTACTTTACAGACGTGAAGACGGAATTCCGGAAGTTCAGTCATCTGGCCCGGTTTCCCAGCAGCAGCGGAGCTGGCTTTGAGTACAGAAGTGCCACCGTCTCTCGGGCCAAGAACTCGGACCGTCCGACGAGTGAGGGGCTGCCAGGAGAGGTGGTGTCTCTGTGTCCTCTGCTCCAGGGCTGCACACGAGGCTCCCTGTCCGAGGCAAGCAGGCTAAGTGTGCCCATGCAGGTCCCTGCAAAGGCCACACTGGCCCGCACCTGCATTTAAAAACATCAAAAAACAAAACGGTGGTCAAATTCACATAACATAAAAGTAATCATTTTCAGGTGAACAATTCAGTGGCATTTCATCTGTTTCCAGTGTGGTATGACCACCACCTCTATCAAGTTCAAAATATTTTTATCATCCCAAAAGGGAGCCCTGCACCCACTGAGTAACCCCTCCCCACTTTCTCTGACCCCAAACTCTGGGGACAACCATCACTTGGCATTCTCTCTCTATGGATCTGTGGATTCTGGAAATTTCATATAAGCGGGATCGAGCAGTGTGAGGCCCTTGGAGGCCAGCTTCCGCCAAGTGGACTGGTGTCCAGGGTCAACCATGCCGTCGTGGGGTCAGTGTTTCTACCCTTCCCACACATGCTCCTGCTTCCTCCCACTGCAGAGCAAGAAGCTGTCCTGGGAAAAAAGGCTTGGCAGGCAGGGCACCGTCCCCAGGGAAGGGAATGTTCTTAAGACCCAGGGGTCCATCCTGCCTCCTGCCCACCCCCGGGTGAGCCCAGGGAACCGGAAAGCACAGATGCTTCTCTGGTGTCCAGGAGGACGACGCCTCGAGCCAGGCTCTACCTCCTTCCTCTCCTCCAGCCCCAGGAGGCAGTCCATCTGCCAGCAATTTGGCCTTTTATAAACAACCTTGTTGGATTTTTGTTTGAAAGCACCATGTGGGGTGGGGAGGTGGAGTGGGATTGCTCCAGGCTCTGCTTAGCCTTTGAGCTCGTTTCCTCCTGAAACAGCCCTGGCCAGGGCCGCGATGTCCATCTACCACAGGGTGATGGCCTCATCTGCTTCCCGACCCCTCACACAGGGCACTCAGACTGCAGCCAAAGCGGGTCCCTGGCCCTGGGGAATGATAGCTGGCTTCTCGCTTCCCAAAGAATGGCCCAGAGCGCCCCCCTATCTGTGGAGTGAGGGAGGTGGCCCCCTGCCCCACAGTGCCTTTCCTTCTAGAATTTTGTGCTGGGAGGCCCTTCGATCCCACAGTCCTGGCCCCGAGCAGGATGTCAGAGCTGCAACCTCACCTCCCAAACCCCCTACCCCCCGCCATGCCCCTGCATCTTCTGGTGCTTTGAGAATTGTGGGGGCTCTGGACAGAGAGGGGTGGCACCCGCGTACCTGGAGACAGGCCGAGCTTCTGGGAATTCTGATGCAGGAGTGTCTTCCCGCCGCTGCCCTTTCCGGGGCCTCTGTTGGACCACAGGGTCTGGCCAGTCGAGAGGCGTGACCCCCCGCACGGATGGCAGGAAGAAACCGTTTATCATCCCGGAAGGATCTGGCTGCCGGCGTGTTTATCGGGAGGAAGGAAATAAGCTCTTTCATCCCCTTTGAGCGGCGTCTGGCCCGCTGGCCATCCGATCCTTCAGCCGGGGGAGTTGTAAATAACGTGTCCTGCGCTTGTCAGTACCTGCTTTGTGTCTGCCGCGGGGCTCTCAGCTCATCACTTCCTGGGTGTTGTACTTGACTGTCGCTTCCTCCTTTAAATAAACTCGGCCATAAATTTAATGCTTGTCAGAGCCGCATTTAGAAGCCTGGCCCAGCAACATGGCCCAGTGTGGCGGGGTTCTCTCCTGGGGCTGCCTTCCGGAGCATCCAGCCCGGGACACCTGGCGGGGTGTGGGGTGCCGGCCGGGGTGCCTGCTGTGCCAGGAGAGGCTTGCAGCCTCAGGGAAGCTACGGTTTGTGTCTCCACGTCTCCAAGCCAGCGAGAAAGTAGTGAAAAATCTCACCTGGCAACTGGGGTGGAAATTGCTGGAGGGCAGGTGGTGCCAGTCTGCATACTCATGGCCAGCAGCGTTGTTGGGCTGAGAGGGCCTCCCATGGTGTTTGCACCCCAGGGGAAGTGATGCAGGAGTGAGCCCATAAGACTAGCATCTCCCATCCAAACATTCATCTGTCCATCTATGCATTCATCCTCCAAACGTGCATCCATCTACCAAACATTCATCTATCCATCCATCCACCAAACCTCTATCTATCCTACTACCAAGCATACATCCATCATCAAACATCTATCCATCCATTCATCTACCATCCATCCATCCATCCGTCCACCAAACACCATTCATCTACCAAACACCACTCATCTACCAAATATCCACCCATCCATTCACCAAGAATCCATCCATCAAACATCCATCCATCCATCCATCCATCCACCAAACATCCATCTATCCATCCATCAAACATCTATCCATTCATTCATCTACCAAACATCCATCTATCCATCCACTAAGAATCCATCTATCAAACATCCATACATCCATCTATCCACCAAACAGCCATCCATCCATCATCAAACATCCATCCATCCATCTGCCATGGATACATCTATCAAGCATCCATTCATCCATTTATCCACCACACATTCATCCATCTACCAAACATCGGTCTACCCTACTAACAAACATCCATCTATCCATCTACCAAATATCCACCCATTCACCAAGCATCCATCCTTCCACCAAACATCCATCCATCCATCCATCTATATGTCCATCCACCAAATACCTATTCATCTGCCAAACATTCATCCATCCATCCATCTGTCCATCAAACATCCATCCATCCATCAAACATTTATCCATCCATTCATCTACCATCCATCCATCTGTCAAACATCCATCCATCCATCTACCAAATATCCATCCATCCATCCCTCCATCATCCACTGAGGCACTGTCATTCACATGTCCCTGTGGGCTGGACATCATGCAGTCCCAAGAGGACAATGCCCCAGGGAACCCCTTGGCTGTGAGAAGCAGGGACTTTGGTTTGGGGGTTACTGGGGGTCTTGGGTAGTTGGGGGTAGCCTCTAGAAGGAAGGAGAAGCCCCTTCTGCTGTAGTTCTTAGAAGAGGGCAGGGTTCAGAGAACGAATCCCCTTTCTGCCCCCTCCCATCGCCTGCTGTCTCACAGTCTGGGGTGACCAGAGTTAAAGGCAGGATCCCCATCCCCATCCCAAATTAGTGTCCTGGGACTCCTGGAGCAAAGAACCACAGATGGTTCTTTGATGAAACGTCTTCTCCCACAGTCCTAGGGGCTGGAAGGCTGAGGTCGAGGCATGGGCAGTGCTGATTCTTCCCCTAAAGCACAGGCATGGCCTGTCTAGGCCGCCGCCCTGGCTGCGGCTGGGTGTCTGGCTTGGGCTGCATCACGCCAGTCTTCACACGGGTTCTCCCTGTGTGCGTGTCTGTCTCCGCTTCCCCTTGTTATCAGGATGCCAGTCACAGTGGACTGGGGGCCACCCCACCCCAGTTGGACCTTAACTAATTATGTCTGTAATGACCTAGTTTCTAAGTAAGTCCGTATTGAGAGGTGATGGGACTTAGGACTTTAGAGTATGAATCTGGGGTGAGGGGAACACAATTCAGCCATGTCACCTACAGAAGCTAAAATCCCTCTTGGCGTGGAAAGCGGCTGCTGAGAACCTTGACCCTCTGTTGCCCTCTGATGTCCCCTCACATGGGCCCCGAGAGGATGGTCGCCAGGAGCCACACAACCCTGCTGAGGTTCAAGGTCGGGGTCCGGGTGCCCAGATCCCCTGTGGGACCTCAGTCCAGGTGCCCTGCTGAGTCCAGAGGCTTCTCGCAGGAACGGTGCCAGGCCAAGGTCAGGTCACCCAGCAGCCTCGGGTTCCCCGGACCTTCTGGGGTCCCGAGGTCCCAGCACCAACCCGAGAATTCTGTGGCTGGAGCAGGGTTTTCGGGGCATGCTCTGCCTGGTCTTGTGTCTCGGGTCCACCTCCGCTGCCTGGAGGCCGTGCGGCTCTGGGTGCCCTGGGGCCTGGGAGCTGTGCCCGGAGCCAGCCGGTGCCCTGAGACCCCTCGGGTTCTTGGAGAAGGAGTTGGGGGTGGTGGTCGCGATGAGGCCACGCAGGGGCCGCTGGGGCAGGGGACAGTTAGAGGTGCTGCTGCAGCTTTGCTTCCCATCTCCCCAGTAGGCCCTGAGCCCAAGCCGAGCCCAAACCGAGCCCATGGAAATTAAGACTGGCTTTGCACACACCCATTATCTGGAAAGGATCGCTCAGCCTGGCTCACGCTCCGGCGGGCATGGTGATGCAGACGCCTGCTTCTGGCCCCATCCCCCGCTCCCCGACCCCTGGGCCCGCCTGGGACCGACTGCTCCCCAGCCCTGGCCCACGCGGCGCCCTGCCCTCCCTGGGCGTGTGCTGTCCTGGCCTGTCCATGTTTGAAGCCACCCACCCGCCTATGAGGAAGCCCCGCCTGGGGGCCTCTGATGACACGCTCATCCATCTCATCTCCCAGCAGAGGGCCAGGGGCCTGGCTTACCTCCCCTGGCCTCCCCCAGCCCCCGGGTGGGGGCCCACAGCCGAGAGAGGTGTTCAAAGGCCTGGTCAAGGGCTCTGGTGATCCTGCAGATGGGGAGGCCTGCCCTGGGTGGGCAGCAGGACCAAGACCAGAGACGCAGCGGGAGGGCCAGGCCCGCAGGCCTCTGGGGCGCTCACTGCACCCTGGCCTTAGCCTGCCTCCCTCCCCTCCTGCTCCGGGACACCCCCTTTATTTCTTGTGGGAAAGACACTTATCTTCTGAGGTCCAGAGAAGCCAGGAGGCTGTGGGTGACCCAGGAAACCCGTGCCCCTTCCCCACCTGTGGCAAGTGGAGAGGGGTCAGGGTCTCGGGGCGGATCCCACCTGACACATATCTCCTAACGGGAGGTCAGCCGTGAGCCAGCCTCCTTGGGCCCCTGGTGGGGGGAGCTCTGCCCCTCTCCTGGGAGGAGGCCAAGTTCAAAGCCAGCACAGCGCCCCCCAGGCCAGGCACTGGGCCTGGCTGAGCCCCTCCTGACCTCCCCACTGTGGTGCACTGCGGGTACAGCAAAGAGACGGTCCATCTGAGAGAGCCTAGGACGCTCC